AGCCTCTCTGGTTTAATGTGGATGAGGTTAAGTTCTTTAACGTGAAAGGCTTTCCTACTTATAGTTGATAAATTTGTACGTAAGGCCATTGACTTTTTATATTCGTTGACTATAAGGTTTCTAAGATTTTTTGTCAATGTTTGACTATAAGGTTTCTATAATTTCCAAGAAAATTACTTCTTTTTGTACATTTTTGCGCAAATACGCTCAACTTCGGAGGATATGATTTGATTGCACACTTTTTACAAAAAGAAATTAGATTTAGGTTAATTAGGGTAATATTAAATTTTATGGTCAAGTTTACGGTTTTTAAGAAATGTATAATTTAATAATTGATGAAGTACGTACATATGTAGTTCTAGATTAGGATTTTTCGAGGAAATTTTGTTCAAGACAAGGAGTTTGACCATACGAAATTGCGGTAAGAATAGCCAAATAAAATGTATAATTCAGCATGATTTGCCTCGTAATTCTCTTTATATAGTTTTTTCTTTTTGTAAAGGTTAACTGATCGTTAGATGACACTTGTTAAATCCAGAATATACAAGAAAAACATTGACTACTAATTTTCGTCACGAGAATCATTGATAATTTTTAGAGAGTTATTAAACGATATACAAAAGAAGAGAGAAAAAACAAAAACAAATTAACGGGTTATACGCATGAGGAGCTATAAATCTCTCTTTTCTATTTCACGTGGACTCCATTTTTGTTGTGTGTACAAATCTGACTACACAAAATCAAAATTCTAATCAAAGAACTTTCGGCGTATAGCCTAATGTTCTTCCCCTTTTTCATTTGGCATCTTCTTCTTCTACCACTAACCAAATTCAATTCATAATGTATATATCTATATATTATTGAGGCCCTAAATTATTTCGTAATCTTCAAAAGCTTCCGAAAATATAAATGTATTTATGCAATCGAATCTTCAAAACGTGTGATTTTATGCAAAAACTTCTATATAAAAGTGTATGGCGGGAGGAAGCCTTCGAATATCTGAGTGCCAAAAGTTTAGCCGTGTTCAATAAGATTATGATGGACTTACGACTCATATTTTTTAGGAAACAAGAAAAAATAGTTGTATGAAAATGGTATTTATATGTAATGAAAACGTTTAGTATTTTTGGGAGAAATCAAAATTAAACTAGTAGTGTTTAGCAAACTTCGTTTTGAATTTATCCGATCAATTTTGTGTACCTTTGCTTTCAGTTTAGGTTCTATTCTTGTTGATAGAATGTATGTTTAACCAAAAGGAATTAAAATTCGTAATTATTTAGTTCGATTTTCAAAACTCGGGAATTAATGAAAACAAAAAGTATTATGATTAAATATAATAGAATTTCGACCAAAAAAAAAATTAAATTAAATATAACAGAATTTAGGAATATGATGGTGATATAATATGTGCAACATATTTGTAGCCACATATTGATACCCGCTTTTTCATGTTATTTGGTCATGTTATACTTAACTTTTTAGTTACAGCTAAATCGGACCAAATCTGAATATTGGAAATTTGGAAGGGATAATTGGTAATAGTACCTGTGAAAACTATAGTTCACCACTAAAGTCAAGGTACAGAATTCGATGTTTTAACATGTGGATATTGAAATAAGACCA